GATCAAGTGTTCAAATGCAGCAGCTTTTATTTTCAGGATAAGGGATTTTTTTTAACCCAAAGCAGGTTCATATTGACATGTGGAAACGCTCACTAGGTAGAAAAGAAATGCATCTGTTTGACAATCAAGTCTTTTGGTATTTCATGTAGATAGCAGCCCATTTTATATCTTAAAGGTACTGCATACACATTAATGAATAACCATCCTCATGCCGGGAAAGGTACAACAGTATTAGTATTATTCCCATTTCAGAGACAAGGGAAATTTAGGCAGAGAAATCAAAAGACCTGCCAGAGACCACAACACAAGAGCTGAGCTTAAAACAGAGAAGTTCTGTGTCTTGGTAACTATCCAAATACCAGTCACCTAAGTACACGTGCTTTCCAACAAGTTAGACCTGATTGTGCATACATGAATGCATCTCTTCAACCCTGTCACTGCCATTAGGAAGGCTTTTAGGGGTTTGGTGTGTGGTATTATTTTTTGGTTGCAGGGTTTTTGGTTGTAGCTGTGTTGGTTTAAGGATGTAGGCAGACAAGGTTCTTTGGGTAGATGTGATATCTTTTATTAGACCAACTGAGTAGTTGGAAAAGATGTTCTTTGCAAGCTTTTGGACACAAGCACCCTTCTTTAGGCATAGGGAGTCTCTGTTGTTCTGAGATCTCCGAGAAGTGAAAAAAGTATTATTTTTATGACTTTTAAATGCATCTGATGGAATAAGTGCATTGTTATAGGAAAGTTATGTGAACAGGCATCCTTTACTGTGGAACGCAGTAAGGTTTGTGGCAATTCTTATTTCTTAAGGCTATATTCTTGGTGTTGGTCCTATGAAGTTTCTGTCTTCTATCCACTGCTAGATTGCCAGCCCAAAGTGCCATGCAATGAAGGCAGGAGTGCTTGCAGTTCAGGAAGCAGCCCCCTCAGGGGAGTGTGGTACATATTTAAGGCAAAGAAGTCTGGAACATAGTTTGCTATGTGAATATGCTATTAGTCTCTCTTCAGTATCTGTAAAATGTGATTAACAATACTTCCCGACCTCACAGTTGCTGTGTGAATGAATACAGTTCAGAGTGTGAAACACTCAGATGTGATAGCAATGAGCTCTATTGTCTACTCTGCAATTACAGACATGATTGCAGACTGCCACAGAAAGGCTGCTACCAATGCGCAAGTTAGCAAGTTTAAAGTGTGTATGGGACAGCAACCATCAACAAGGCAGTGAAACTCATTGAACACAGAAAGTTCTCAGTCACACTGAAAACAAATAATTGATAAAATATTGTTCTTCACCAATTTCTTTCAGTTATGAATGTCTTAAGCATAGGTTAAAGCTATTGCTAATGAAAGCATTTTCGAATTGTTGTGATTTTCAAGGTCACTATGTCCTAAAGTGCTGATCTTAGTATCTACTCAGGGGCCAGCCCAGCACGAAATAGCTTGAGTGTTTTGAGATACGCAGACATTTCCAGACCCCGGATCAGGTGCAGCTCAGCAAATCAGAAGAAAACGATTCCTCTCAACTTTAAATGGAGTCTGTCAAGTAGCATAGGCCCCAAAGAAAAAAAGAAATCAATATACTCCATAGCCTTCAGCTGGAAAGCTACCTACTAAGTGAACAGCTCATGCAATTTAACTCCCTGCTTCTGGTGATGCGGTGCTCCTAAGCTTGGGGGCTCTTTGATCCACCTCTTCATAGCTGTGCAGCAAGCAGAATTTAATCTTGTTCTGAGGGGATGTTTGCTTCCAGTAGTAGCCTCCCGAACAGAGCTGTCAATCAAGGCTGAACCTTAATACCTTCAGGTTGCAGTCCCTTTAAACTTCCACCTCAGTTGAGTGGTGTCCAGTCAGCTGTGGAGGAACTATCACCCACACAGAGGATGGGGACTTCCTGAGCTTGTTCAGTGAAGTCCCTCGATATTAATTCTCTTGTCTCTGTGAAGGGGCTGCACAAAATGTCTAATCAAGTTGGCATTCCATGGCCATGAAAGCGAGGGCGTTCCCTCTCAGAAATAAGTACTTGTTTTCTGCAAGTGGAGGCCCTGAAAGTCCTGCCGAGCTTTTGTGGGTCAGCAGGCAAGCAAATTTTCATGGGATTAAACCTTTACTTATTGTTGTCAGAATGGAGACAGTGAGGACAAGGGCTACTTTCCATAGCTAATTTCCCAGTTTTTTTAGCAGGGGATGTCAGGTAAAATATTCAGTGACTGGCAGGATGATAGAATACGGTTTAATTTCAGATTTACTATCTGCCAACACATGCCATTCAAACGGATAAACACAAGATTTCAGCTGTCATCACAGCAGTTTGCGCATACTTAAAAATAGGACATTTTTTCACACATTGAGAAGAAGTTGAGCAGGTTTATATATAGGATATATACCATGGGGACAGTTGGAAAAGTTCCACAAGTTTGAAAGATTCTGCCATTTCCAAAGAAATTCCCTATCTTTAAGGTAAGGAATTACATTACAAGCAGTAGAAACTTTAATGCTTGTAGAAAGTTTTTAAGTCCTTTGTGTAGAAGGAAAAACATTTATAAAGAGTGTAGTATAAGGCTGAATTTGAATAAATATAATGAAGGTATGTGGCATGCATAATGCATTAGAACCTGCAGAGACATGAGTAACTGAAATGCATTTTCTGGTTTAAAAATGCCTGTAGATGTGAGATCCTGCTTGGTTGTCTGTCAAGGTTGTAATGGGCCTTTCATTATAGTATCTGAATATCTGATCCACTAAGCTTGGAAAGTGAAGATAAAAGATGATGGGCTATCCTAAATCACCTTTGACAATGCATTCAGGACTCGTGGTAGAGATGATATCTTTTAATAGACCAACAAGATTTTTGCACAAAAATGTCTTTAATTGCAAGCTTTCGGGTACAAACACCCTTCATCAGGCATTGGAGAGAAGATTGTAAAAGTTCTCTTGGGTAGAAATGAAAGTTCATATTTCATTGACAATGCATTTAATTTAAAGAATCACAATATCAAGCCTCAGATATGCAAACACAAACCTTTGCTCTTGTTCGATGCCCCAATAACTTCAGTGGAAATAACCATATGGGTAAAGTTATGCACCTGTGTAAATAATTACTGGAGTAGGGCTTTCCATTATAAACACAGCTGTATACATATTTTAGTGCTATCCCCTTGGCCTGACAAGCGAGTCAAAATTTATACCCTTGGTGGATTGTTTCTGTTAGGAGGAAGATGGATAATATATGTCAGGTGTTTCTTTGGTGTAATCTTGTTAGTTTACAAAGAATGTATGGAAAGTCCTCTTTCCCTAAATGGTTGAAACTATCAGCAGCAGTCAGTTTCTTGATGCACGTATTTGCTGGAGTCTCCCTGGGAAGCCCAGTGCCCAAAAGGTTCTCAATCTTCCTTTCACAGTCTTCTCTAGTCTTTTGCAATACACTCTTACCTTGCAAGCCAGTATCATAGCCCTGTGTTTTCTGTCAGGAAAACTGCTAATCTTTTAATCCTGTTAATCTCTCTGGGTTCACTATGTTCAAACCTTTCCATACAGCCGCATCTTCTGTGCCAGCCTCTGCTATTTCTAGTTGTCTCACTGCATGAAATAGGTTTAACTGCTTCTGCTGGTGACCCTGGCTCTTTATAACAGAGTCCGTGATTATCTTTGAATTGAAAACTTGATGTTAGCCAATACCATCCTCCAGCCTCCCAGTGTCTTTCTGATTTTTCCTCCAGGTTTTGGATGACACTTTCCCAGATTAAAGAGGTGTTATTCTAAACTGAGGTCTAAACGGATGGACCAATATATACCGAGAAAGGGGAGCTGAGTCCAGGATCTGCCCCTTTCAGTTTACCTAGAATCAGCTCCTCTGAATAGCCAAATTTGTAGTGAAGGTTAGGATTTTTTTCTTCTCTGCATATCTCTGTTGTAACTGAACTGCATAGGGGCTGCTGCTATGCTACATTTTTCATCATAAGGGAAAGACTTGAAGTATATGTACAACCAGCATCTTCAGGAGTTCTGCAAGGGGGAAGTAGCTTTATATTTGCCATCAGATCTTCTCTTATCATAGATAGAGAATGTGCTGTGGCTCTGACCAGACCTTCCTTTCTGGCTAAGCATCGGCCACTTGCAGGGGATTGCTGACTACCAGGTGACAGGGGCCTCGGCTAAACAAAACGTGGGGGCCTTGTGCATCAGCAGCTTTCTCCTACAAAGATTTTCTACTCTGAGGCCTGTAACCTGAGTTATACAGACTAGTAGAAAAATAAGCAAGGATTGAATGAGTCCAATGTGGCTTTTCTTCCCCACAGTCTTAATTTTTGACTCTACAGGAAAAGGCTTGCACAAATTATGATTTCCCTGGTAATTTCTTTGAAGAAGTGAGCGGGTGGTGCATCCATTATGCATTGTACTGCCATTTACATGCTTGGCCTCACTGGCTCTATGGTATATTAAATGCTTTATTTACCCTGTGAGCTACCTGTCGTCTAATCAACATTTTGTTTTTCTTGCATTTCTTGCTGGATTATACTGAGAGTAAATTGTTTCATGTAAATTAAAACCACATGAAAGCTTTTTAAGCCATTCTTAAATACTAAATGATTTTGCAAATATGTATGTTGGACAAGAATTGCATACAGGATTCTTTGCTTACCTATTTATTCTATTGTACTTTTGCTAGACATTCCTCATGCGACTATTCCATCAGATGGTGCATCCAGGTATTCAGCCAGACTGCCAGACCTCATTTATACCATGCTCAGGGGGGGTTGAGTAAACAGTAGGCAGTTAACAAAGAACACAGTAGTAAGCCGCAGTTACAAATGATATTTTGTAAATTACAACACTGGTATGCAGTAAACACAAAAAACAATGTTTTCCCACTTGCCTGGAGTATAAAACCAATGTTAATTTAAATATCTCTATACTGTTAAGAAATATCTTTATTATTATGGAGCTATTATTATTAACCTTTCTTGTGACTGCTGTTTCACCACAAATAATTTTTTTGTTTACAGGTGGATCGGATCATCTTCTGTGTCTTTTTGGAGGTCGACTACAAAATTTTCAAGAAGAAAATGGGCGAGTTTTTCCCTATAGGTATGTGCAGTAATAAGTTGTTGCCTGACCATAATAACTTTGTGCAGCAAAAATGAAACATTTTGCATCTTCTGTCTCCTCAGCCAAGCATTAAGCCTAAGTAGAGATGTTCAAAAAGTCCATGGTGAAAGTGCTCTATTTCACTTTACTTAAAGCTCTATAAGTTAGAGCATGTTTGAACTGAATAGATTTCACTGTTCAGTAGGGAGGCCTTGCACTGCCCGAGGCAAGCAGATAGGGGAGCTCTTGCATGCCTCCCAGCATGCCCCACAGACTTCCCAGGCTGCTGTAGACTCTCAAGCACAGCCAAATGGGCAAGCCATCCCTGATTGGCTGCCTAGGGAAGGGGAGCTGTCTCCCCCTCCCCTTCCCCTCCCTGCTCTGTCAGTGACAGGAATCAGAGAATCACAGAGAAGCGGGGCTGGAAGGGACCTCTGGGCCAGGCTGGGGACACCCAGGGACTAGGATCCAGGCATGGGAAGCTGTCTGCTGAGTGCCAGCAGGGAAAGGCTGGGTATCAGCATCTCCCTGGAGCTGCAGTAATGGCTGGGGGCACTGTCCTGGATCTGCTGTGGATTGGGGGAGGGGAAGGGTGCAGGGCAAGATTCCCTGGGGCCAGGCTGGACACGGACATGGGCACCCCCCACCCCCAAAGCTCTGCTCCCTGCTGAATGCCAATGGCAGTGGCAGAAAATCTGCTCCCTTCCCCACTGTGCCATGGCTCTATTTAGGGCCAGGATGGAGACCCACACACACGTGTGTTCCTACATCAGGAGTACGCAATGTTTTTTCACCGGAGTGGCGAAAAAACCACAACGTCTACCTTGGAAGGTGCGGGAGTACTGACATGCCGGAGCCCAGAGCAGCTGTTTGCAGCCTCCCAGCTGCAGCCAGCCCAAGGAGCCCAGTCTGCTTGCAGCAGGGCTTGCAGCCTCCCAGCCACCTGCTGGGAGCAATCTGGGCTCCATGGCTGGCAGCATGGCTGGCAGTGGTGTGCTGAGCAAAATGGTCATGCATGCCATCCTTGGCATGCATGCTGGGGGTTGCTGACCCCTGTCCTACACGCACACAACCCCTATGCTTTGCTGAATACCAGTGGCAGTGGCAGCAGCAGCAGCTCTACTCCCTGCCCCGCTGCACCATAGCCCTGCTCAGGGCAAGGCTGGAGACCCACATACCCCAAACTCCACTCCCTACAGATAGTCAGCTGGAGTAGCAGCATGAGCTACACCACTTTTCGCTACACTGGGAACTCTGGAGGGGCAGGAGTGGGAAAGGAGCTGCCATGCTGGGAGGGCCTCCTCCAGCTTCCTGGCGTTGGTCTTGGTGGGGGCTGGACTTGCACAGCACGGGGGCTCCTTTTCCTCCCCCTCCTCGCCTGCCAGAGTTCCTGGCACAGCCCCACACTGTTATTCCTGTTTACAGCTGGGGGAGAGGAGCCTCCCTGCTGCTGTGGAGCCTGACCTGGTCCCCATCAAGACCTGAGCTGGGAAACAGGGGGTGGGGAAGAGGGAGCCTGAGTTTCCACTCCCTCCGCCTGAGTTCTTGTGATGAAAAGTGGCATTGCACTGCAGCTACTGGCTGCAGCTGCGGAAAGGAGCACCCCTAGCTTGGCTGTATCATGCTTTGGGGCTGGGGCAGCTGTGTAGACATAAACTCCCCTTTCTCATTCCTCT